AAGGGACATTTGCACAACAAAGGCCGAAAGGAGAGGGCAGGCAACTTCCCCAGCCATTCCCACCCCATTGTGCCCATTAGAGTAGATAAGACTATTGCCATTGAGAACTGTGGCGAAAACAAAACCCCTACCAGAGGACCTGCACTCTCACTGTTGAGCAAACCACTGGGAGGGCCATTAGATGTTAGTTAAGCCTCTTTATGGAGTCTAACAACTCTGAGACTACACATTCTATACGAGTCATTTGTTTTTCATTTCGTAGTGAAAATCAAAACCACCAGGACTAATTTTGAGACCAGAATAAACCAGAATCACTTCTTTCATGTTCAGATGCCAGATTTTTGTAGTATTATATTCACTTTAAAAATCTTGTCGACATTTTAAATGTTACTTAATTTAAGATTGTTACTAATAGTGGTATTCTTCAGCTCAATTTAGTTCCATGTTTCAGATTCATTCAATAACTGTCAATGTTGCAAAGTTCATAATTATGAAACGAGTTCATTTCAGCTATAAGCAGCTTTACAGAAGTCAACAGTCAATATTCAGCTCAATTCAGTTCAATGTTGATTCAATTCAGTTAAAAAAAAGCCAGTGCTGTGAAGTTAGTGTCATTATCCAGCTCAATTCGGTTCAATTTTTGTTCTTGTCCAATCAGTGAGTTAAATTGATAATATTACTGAATATTAATTGTCTTTTAAACCTTTGTCTTCATCTTTTAGATGCATTTTCTTCCATTCAAGTACCTTTTTTTCCTCTTCTAGCTGTCTCCAAGTACTAAGGCCTTTAGGACCCTGAGAAGGTGGCGCCCTGATGCACTTTGTCTTCGGAGTATGATGTTTCTATAGTAATGGGGATCCCTCCTCCTCATTGTCTCCATGGGGGCATCGGTAGACCCCCACTGCCGTGTCATCCTGACAAAGCACTCCCCACCTCCCCGGGAAAGAGAAAACCGAGAGGTCTGTGGGATATGGATTTATGGGAGCAGGGAAGAGTTCAAAGGCTTTCCGGTTGTCAGGAATATAACGATGGTGTCCAACGCTAGAGGTGTAGGACAGCATGAATAATGTGATGGATTACACAACACCACAATGTGTTAGAGATGTCTGTCTTCATGTTGAGTAAATAGGGAAATGTCTGAAGAGACATATTCTTCACAGGTCAAAGTAAAAGTAAGCAGAAAAACACATGAAAATTTTAATAATTTCAAGTTTAATTGCTGCTCACCTTATCCATTTAGTTCAGGTCTGAGATCAGCAATATACCTCATATATTATATATTTCACTTCTCTTTAGTCCCTGATGTCCATTTGAAGAGTTTCTTAACTGAGATGACCAGCATATTGTTCTTCAAGACATTAGCAGCTCTCTCCCAGCGACTCTCTTCCTTCCACAGGCCTTTCCCTTTCTTCTCTGCTCTGCTCTCGGCCCTCAGAAAGCGCTTATAGAGACGCCAGTAGATCCGAGAGTGAGGGTCCAGACCCACAAAAGGAGAAGTCCTAGCCAATCCATGCCTCAAAAGTTCCTCATTCACACAGGTGTTAAAGAGAGAGCCCTGAAAGAATAATGCGATGAAGTGGATTTAATGGATTTCCCAGTGTTTTAAGCACAGCGTGACTAATAACATACAAATTATAACATCTATATTACCAATTTAATTTACATTTAATATATCGTTTAATTATTACATTTCATCACTGAACTTTCCTTCATTTTTCCATGATTTTTCCAGTTGATTGTGATAAATATATATTTTTAAAATAATTTTAAAGAAAGCGTGTAAAGATATAATAATTAAAAAAAAAATGTTCAGGCTTAGAAACAACATTTGAAATTCACTGATATTTCTAGCTTTCCATGACCCCTGTTTATCAACATTTAATAATTAAAAACTTGTATGATATTAGATCTAAAGCAGTGGTTCTTAACCACGGGGCCGAGACCAATTTGGGGGCCTCAAAACTCAAATTGATTCAAATAGGCTAAACAACAACAAATCAAGATATTTCTTATTTTAACTCATTCCTTCAACTGGATCCAACCTTTTGTTTTATTTGTATTTTTTGTCTTTGAAAAGCCCGGGCTCCCTCTGTCCTAAAAAAAAAACATAGATACACAAGAATTTTAGTGTTAAAAGTGTCAAATTTCTACACCTGGAAAAGTCATGCAAATTAATATAATCTCATAACTCCATGGCCATTTCTATAATGAATATACATATTCCGAAATTGTCAAGCTCTAAAATAACTTATAATGTAAAAAGCTTGAGTAAAAAATAAATAAATCCTTATCCAGTACATTACAAACAACTGGAAAAATAATTGGATCTTTGAAAATTGGAGGCATTGCATTCAAAAAAGCTGAAAACCACTGCTCTAATGTGCCTTATTTTCCTATTAGCCTCTCATTTGTCAAGCTAACCACTTTCATGGTGGCATCTGACCCTGTGCTAATCTGGTATATTGCACCTACCCTGTTAACTGACACTAGGCAGTGGAGGGTCTCGTTCTGTCGAGCGATAAGTCGGAGCCACACCGTCTCAGCTGGTTTCAGCTGTTGACCAATCCAGTCCTGCCCTTCTATGGTCAGCTCCACTCCAGCCAGACGCACATCCAGAAGGGTCAAGGAATGACCTGCTGAAGCCAGTGTGAGCTGTCATCTCCCTTTTAAACGCTATATCAACAAGACTCTAATTTCAAAGTGCTTTTACGATGTGAAAATAGTTTACGGAGTCAGTACAAAGCAGCAGGACTTCTAAAGGATTTAAAGAAAGTGTAATTTTCTGTGGTCTGAGAGGATCATTATGTAAACAAGACCAGTAAGGTCATGCTATCCTGATGAGTATTAGTCTCTGTGGTATACAGGAGAAAGCTAGATACGTCCATATGGTACACGCACCAAGAGGTCAAGCTTACAACAAGGCCATCTGTGAATCAAAGTGACATCTCCTTATCTAAACTTCAGGGAGTTGATATGTGACTGGTATAGCATATTTGGATCACATCTAAACTCATTTCGAAGGCATGGATGGTCCATAATAGAATTACTTTGACTGCCTCTTTCCACTAACTGGTTTACAGAGATTAATTTGAAAATACTGAAACACAATCTTGTAGATGTGCAAATGTTAACAATTCAGTGGCAATTTGATTCAGTTCTGAAACAACGTGAGATTTCGCAGAGTTTGGAGTGTAACAACAGGACGACGGGAGAAAGAAATCTTTCATGCTTCAGTGACTTAAGTTAAAAGACCAAGTGAATGGACTTGAATCCAAGTTCAAAGGCAAAGTCACTTTTTTCAGCAGGAAAAAAAAATCTCTCCACTTACTGACACAGCAGGAGATACACAATTATAAAAACCGATAAAACAGTTTCTAAGAGAAATGGGCTTTTAAATATTGAGTCATAATGGAGACCAGCTGTTCAGATGAACACAGTCGTCCCTGTGACAGCTGTGAAATAAATCTGCAGGCCTACTGAAAGGACTTTTAATTAAAGTGTGTGAGGGGGTCTTCCTGAAGGACTGCAAAAGAGGGTTGTGTGGTTCCTTACATTTAGTAAGTAGGCGACTGAGCAAAGGGACATAAATTGGAATGTGTTCCACTTCAAGCCCTTTTTCTGTAATATTGCTTAGTCTTCCTCTGATACTGATGTTTCTCTCAATGAATCGTGCTGGAATATCAGCAGCAAAGCCAAATTTTGTAATCTGCAAAATAAGGACAGTAAAATATGACCAAGACAAGAAAAAACATCAATATAGTTCCAGGGCATCAGGATCCCCTGCTGGTGAATGCCATACCACCGTCATGCTTTCCCATTAAACATAATTAAAATATATCAATAATTCAAATACAAAAACGAAAGCATCTGCATGAAGACTTTACTTAAACTCACAGAGCCCATTAACATATGGACTGTCAGGAGCTGCGTGAAATAAAGTGTGTGTGTGTGTGTGTGGTGCATTTACCAGTCTGATGCTCCTCGCTATGATGAGAAGACCCGCGCTGATATTCTGTTGGGGAGCACATTAAAATATACACAGCATAAGATAAAGCAGTATAATATTTACTGCGTCTTGCACGGGCAGCTGCCATATACAGTATGTAGTTCACTAACTCAGTTTCTCAGTACATGGGCAGTCATATATTTGTAATGAAATTAAATGACACCTATTGTTCAAATCTGTCACTTACCCGGATAAACGTTAAGTTATTGTCGGCAAACTGTGATATATGTGCAATGACATTTTTAGAGGACTTGTCCTCCTCGTTCACATCTGCAGGATCCGAACCCGGCGGCATGTTGTTTATAGAGGAAAAACTACAAAATGTAGCCACCCCCACTGTTCAAGGGTAGCGCCTTAGGCCAAAATAGTGAAATGCGTTTTCCGTTTTACATGGGAAAGCTTAACACAAATGGATCCGATTTCCTTTCATTTATTTGTATACAAGATATTAATTTATTTTACATAAGAGTTTGGGAATGTTGGTAAAAACAAGTATTTACAAAGATCCAAAGACACACTGCAGCTGTACCCTCTCCCCACTATATGACATAAAACAAAATAAGGTGAACACTTAATGAAGATTACAAATACAAAGAATTTTGCATTAAGAACATTTTACAGCAGGTAAAATATTTAGCCATACAGTACAGTATTTTACAGGGATAGTTTACAAAAAGAAAAGAAAAAAAGAAAGAAAATTCTGCCATTCAGTCCATGTTTTTTCAAACTCATTTGGCTTTTTTCCCCCCATGGAACACAAAAGATGATTTGTCAGGATGACAGACTTAATCGTCATTCACTTTCAAAGAAAAAGATGATGTAAAAGTAAAAATGAATGGAGACTGAGGCTGTCAGTACTTAAAGCAATAGTTCACCCAAAAACGAAAATTCTGCCATCATTTACTGAACCTCAAGTTGTTCCGAACCTGTAGGAGTTTCTTTCTTCTGTTGAACACAAAAGATGATATTTTGAAGAATGGTGGGAAACAAAGAGTTGCCGGTAGCCATTGACTTCCATAGTATGGAGGGGGTACAAAAAAAAAGCTGTTTGTTTACCAACAGTATTTAAATTGTGCCTAATTTATCCTCTTTTGTGTTTATTAAAGAAAGTTATACAGTTTTGAAGAATGAAGATTAGTAACTAATGACTGAATAATCAGTCTTGGGTGAACAATCTCTTGAAATTATTCCTAGTTATCAGTGAAAACCAACTTTTAGTTAAAGTGCTGGTGATTGTATAAATATCCTGGTCAACCAATAACAAACGTTAAAGTTGTAAATTCTAGGCTTTCTTCTCCGCTGCTGAAAAGTCTAAATCATTTATAGAAAATCTAATGATTAATTTTGTTGACATGGGGTTTGGTAGCGCTAACAAAATTTGTTGTCTTAAAAGACACAGCTGGTTTCATGAATATTAAGTTCAGTTATACACATTCAAACTTGACTGGCCATAAAAACACAAAGAAAAAGACCAAAAACAAAACAAAAAAAGCAAATATAGTCTTTGTCAATATTATTTTTTTCCTGTTCTTGCAGAAGTTATCTTTAACTTTCTTCACTTGCTTTTTATATTGATAGCTGGGTCATTTAAGATAACTGCGATTTATATACATAACAGAAAACAACATAAAACCATTTCCACCTCTATAACCAATTTCAATAGTACTACAACCAGTTTCATTCACAATTATGTGATTGCTGAGGCAATTTGGGTCTAACTGCATAAATATGTACATTCCACCTGAAGAGCTCGATTAGAATCAAGTCTTTCTGGAGAAAAAGCATAAAAGCTGAGATGTGAATTTTGCAGCAACTACTTCTTCATGCATATGTCATGTATGATGTCAGAAGACCCACAGTCTTTTTGGGAAAAAACTATGATATTAGAAACAGAAAAGCACAAGGCACAGGAACTCAAGACAAATGCTTGATTAAATAGGCAGCGGAGCAGTGAATGTCATGCCATTCCTGTGTATCATGTACTTCACACATAAGCTAGTGCCATCTCTAGATTTACAGATTTCAATTTGGCATAAAAGCTCTGATTCTTGGGGATAATGCAACAGATATGCTAAGAATTTAATAGTACAGTATATTCTACTATTTCAGTCATCAAAGAGTTCAAAGCCTGTCTACAGGCCTGCTGTAGCATGACAAAAATAAGTAGTTACTCAGACAAGGAACGGTCCAGTCCAGTACAGATTATGTTATTTGACAACCCTGCAATGCCACGCAGAGGGGCTCTCTTCTTGTATCCGTTTCATTCTTTTCCCAAAGAACATCCACCAGCAGAGACCGATCAAAACACACACCACAGACTCAACGTAGTAACCGTCCAGTGTTGTCACACATGTGCCGCCCTCTCTGACACAGAGCTGAAGACAATATAAGAACAGATTCAAATTATAGGCATAGTTAAGTGTCACCAATTAGCAAATGCCTGGAAATATGATTAAATTAAACACTTACCCCTGCTTCTTCAACCGAACCGCACGTCTGCTCGGGGGCTCCCTGGCACTCTTTAAAGGTGAGAGGGTCTACCAGCCATAGAGCTAGAGTAGAGGGCCAGTTCCCTCCTAGATTAGTCACAGTGTTCAGAAGGGTCATGTAGGTGCCCCCTATCACAGGGTCACTGACCTTGGCATGAAAGGCCATGCAGGCAACAAAAATGTGAGGGGTGTACTCACTTCTGTGAGATACTGATATTATATATATATATACATACACACACACACAAGTAAAAATAAACTAACCTGATGTACTGCATAGCTCAGCAGCACAACAGCATAGTAATACACTGGAAAGCCCTCCTCCTGCCGAACACTTGGGGTCCACCAGACCAGCAGGGCGTACTCCAGACCAATCAGCAGCCTTTGAGGAACACAATCCACAGGCATCCTATTACTCTATCCAATGCATGTATTCCCTCTAATGATTACATATGTGGCTGTCAATTCATGTGTACATCACAGCTCTTAATGTCTAGAATCAGGGCATGTGTGTTGATTTTGTTTGTACCTGAACGGGAAAGCTTTGTAGAAAACATCTAGTGGACGTGGCCCAGCTGTGTATTTACTAATAACTAGAGGCAGCAAGATTTGCAGAGGCACCATGGGAACTGCCAGTAGAGCCAGCTGCTCTTTAGGAACCCCGGCTTCCACTAGCTTCAACCCAGTCACAGCATCCGCAGCAGAGAAACCGATCTAAAAGTAGAGAGGAAGAGGGATGAATTAGATTGATCTGCGTATAGCTATAAAGTTACAGCAATCAAACTAGTTAAAACAGGAAGATGACCATAGTAAGCCTCGGCTAAGTAACATTACCTTAGCAGTCAGCAATAGGACGCAGAAGGTAAAGACAGTGGGCATTTTAATTATGGAGAGCAACAGTTTGTAGGTCTCCATAACACTCTGTGTCTCCTCTTTTGGCTTCTTCTTAGTATGATGGTGTCTGTTGTTTTCCTTTTTCAGTATAGCAACCAGAGTGGTAGATACCATGAACACAATCCCACACAAAAACAAGAAATCTGAAAGGGAACAAAACAGAATGAAAATAGGTAAGTTAAGGTACCCTAAATATATATGTATATACTTAAATATAAAATGTTTCATGTTTTTTGCCTTATGCCCACCAAAGCGGCATTTAATTAAAAAGTAAAAAACTCTAATATTGTGAAATTAGTTTTTTCAAAAAATGTTTTCCAAAATATATTATTTATTCCTGTGATTGCAAAGCTGAGTTTTCAGCAGGCATTACTGCACTCTTCAGTGTCACATGATCATTTAGAAATCATTCTATTAGGCTGATCTGGTGCTCAATAAATATTTCTTGTTATTATTAATGTTAAATATTGTTGTGCTGCTTCATATTTTTGTGGAAGGTGTGGAAACGTTTTTTTTTCTTTCAGGATTCATTTATGAACAGAACGATCAAAAGAACAAGACTTATTTAAAATGAAAATGTGTTGTAACAATGTACAGAGATTTTACTGTCACATTTGTTCATTTTAACGCATTCTTGTTGAATAAAAATATTAATTCATTAAAAAATAATAATTTGAAAATGTAAAAATATACCTGAGAGTGTTACAATGCCCCGTTCCTGAGGCTCAAACCTCAGATACTTGTTGCAGAAATCAGCAGACTCCAGAGCCAGAAACAACACATTTCCTAGGAAGTATCCAGCCGTCTGACCCACAGAGTTACAAGTGGAAGCATAACCCACATTCTCCCTGGACAGCATAGTCAAAGCCCAGCCATCAACGGCAATATCTTGCGTGGCTGCGAGGAAAGCCAGCATGAAGAAGACTGCAGTCAGTGCGATCACATCTGGCCCACTCTGTCCATCTGTCTGAAGCATTGCATCAACCGTGACTGACAGGTAAAGCATAAAAAGACCCAGCAGGTACTGAGTGGGCACCAGCCACGACTTCCTCCTGCCAAACTGCCGCAGGTACAGCGAGTCCACCAGGGGAGCCCAGAACAGCTTTAGACTGAAGGGCCAAAAGACGAAGCTAAAATAGGCCTGGTCCTTGTAGCCAACGTTCTTACTCTGCATGATGAGAGGGATGCTCCCGGCCAAGCCTAAGGGAATGCCCTGAAGCACATACAAAAACAATAACAGGGCCACACTGCCTAGTTCTCCTTTGATCCCGTGACACGCTTTCGCTTGTCCATCAGCCCTGACGGAGTTTGGTAGAAGAGCCTCCTCGTCACACTCCACTTCTAGCTTGGATTCTCTTTCACCCATATCAGAGTTGGACACCACAGGCTTCCGCAGCCTCCCGTTCTTGTGTGTGACAGATTCAGACAGTTCCATCTTAACCTGCCGGGCATCAATCCAGATATGTCCTCAAAACACCTGTGTGTAAAAAAAAATAATAATTAAACCAGCTGCACCAATGAGTCTGTGAAAAAAGTGAATTGCATAACGTTATTGGAAGCAGTGTTATATTGGTATCATTTAGATCCTATTATTATTATTATTATTATTATTATTTTAATACATCGAATTAGTATTTATTTTTAGATTGTTTTCTTTTTAAATTACTTAAAGTTTCAGCAATTTTAGCAATGAGTTTTTGACAGTTTTATTATTATATTTTTTTTTTTTATGTATATAGCCTATGCATTCACTATTATTTCTGTTTTAGTCTATCGTTTTAGTACATAAATTTACTAAATAAAAATGAGAAATTCCAAGTCTTGGCAACTAGCAGAGGTTAGGTTAGTTTAGGATAACATAACATAAAAATAGTTTTAAAACTTGTTTCAGTTAGCATTTCAAATACCAAAAATGTTTTTATGGTTTTAGTTTACTATAACAGTATTACTATACTACTCCAAAACCATAAAGACTGGGGACAAAATGTGTATTCCACTCCAGAGAAGCCTCTCGAACATGAAACCAATTAACGAAACACATAAATGATTAATAAAAAATAGCTAACGTTAACTAGTTCTGATTCTTGTCACGTAAAGCTGAGTAAGCAAAACAAATAACATCAGCTCAGAGACTTTATCATGCGACACATTTTGATTATCGAACATATTCCGAACGAAAGAACCACATAAGCATGAGTTGGTAAAGAAGCAGAAAAAACACTGATTAATGGTTACCTTGCACTATGATGACATTCCACAAGACAAGTCAAGACATCAATGAATCAATGAACAAAATGAAAAAAAAACACACGGTTCCTTGACTTCAGATAAGCAGCACCTTACTGAGACATAAATATATGTGCATAAATATACAATATACCTAGTTTTTCAAGACGCCCGAACCACAGTTAGTACACCTGACTGCTAAAATGAGAAGGAAACCGGGGAGGTGCGTCAGTAAAATGTGTCCGAATGCTTCAGCTGACGTGTCTTACAGCGCCTGTTTTAGTTCCGCTTAGTTTAATGTTTCATGTAACTTACAGAGTAAATATTCTGCCCATGCAACTTTGAAAAATTTATGAATTTATTTATTTTTTGAGAGAAGTTTCTTATGTTGCATTTAACTGCATGAACTGTTTTC